GTTGACATGGTATACCATAATTTTGATAAATGCACAAACATAGAGCACCATTAAAGGAGTCATGAACTGAGAAACCAAACTTCCCTTGATCTTTTGACATATAAGTCATTGTACTATAAAAACATCCGGTAAGTTTCAAAACTCAAAACTTTCTCATTAGTCTAAAATAAGCTTATATTGAAGTCAGTCTGGTTGCGGAATGTGCCACTCTATTACTTAATAGTGTGGCTAAACACTGCCTCCGCAGAAGAACATTAACACCTGCTTCTACATCGCTGCCTGTTTAGCCCCACCCACAGATTCGCGCAAGTAGTTTACGACAGAGGTGAACGCAGGTCTACACAGAAACCCAACGATAAAGACGGCTCCAAAGACAAGACGCTGTGCAGTGCCAAGTTGTGGAAAAATGGTCTTTGCATTGCTTTTCTTCTGATCCCGACGTTAGGAAAGAGTGGATGAACTTTATTTTTAATGAAGATCCATACCGCGTCAGTAAGAACTCGGTCCTTTGTTCACTTCATTTTATCACAGATTTGTTTACAAACAAGGCACAATTTGACACAGGATTTTCAGAAAGATTGAAACTAAAAGACGATGCTGTGCCGGCTATATTGGATCCGACAGTAATGTCACATCACACAAGTGTGAGTAACTGTTGCTAATTACTTCTAAATTATGTTTTTTGATGTAAAAATCTTGATAACATTATAAGTGGACCTCAGAGAACAGTGCAAAATAAAAAAAACAGAGGCAGTTCATGACCCCTTTAACAGGCAGAGGAAACAAAGCTAAACTGCAAAAGGAAATCAATAAAATTAAATTGAATCTTATTAACTCATTAGCAGGTTAGCAGACTAAATGGTTAGATGGATCATTTAAACACAATTTAATTCCAATATTCGATGCTACAAAGAACATATGATAAAACTTTTTTATTACAATATGAATGAAAAGTTCAACATTATACCAATAATTCATTTACTTTTCAATTTCAGATACACATACAGTAAAAAATAGAGCCAGTAGACTTTAGTTACATCACAGCCAAAAAGCATGTTTTGCTACCAAAGGTATCTGGTATCTGGCTGCAACATTATGGCAATAAGTATGAATTTGTATGCCCTTATTCATACATTTTCATAGATATGCTCAAACCCCACTAATGGTTGTTTAACGGTGGGTCTTCATGCTTTTTTTCCCTAAAAAAACTTGTTTTAGACATCATGTGAATTCATATGAAAATGCCACGTTGTGAATGTTTTTCATGCAAACTTGGGTTGGTAAAAAAATTTTGTAAGCAACATTTAAATCACCACGGGGGTGACCTGTGCCAGCTAAACAACACCCATATTTATTTGTTAAAAGTAAATTTGGTCAACATTTGGAAGTTCATACCATATAAATCACCTCAAAACTAACACTGACTGAACAAAAAGCACAAAACTCTCACTTTGATTTCATGGGGTCCTCAAGAGATTCAGCTTTTACAAAAGGTCCACTATCTCATGTAGTGGTGCTCCACAATTTGAGAAAAATCATGTTTCTATTTAGAAAATAGTGAGGTCTGAATGAGATATTTAATGGCAGTAAGAGAGACACTATTGTGTTTAAGAAGATGAAAAATCCCCCCCCCCCACACACATATTTTCACCTAATTATACTGTATGAATGTGACTGCAAATGAGTGCCTGTGAGAGATTCATCAGCAGATGAAAGTGTTTACCACAACATAGGTGGTTTTAGAGCTCGGATAATTCCCATATTAGGCATGGCTTGTGATCCTTTTGCATACATGACGCTGGTGTAAATCATTTTTGTGTTTTGTTTTTTGTACAGAGGTAACAGACTGCACCTGTTGAATGGGGAGCCTCTAATACTGTTTCTAACTGAAATCAATATCTGACATCAATGGCCACCAACAATATCACATTTTTAATGCTGCCAGCAGACCACTACATTAGCAGAAGGGGTATATTTCCTCATGATAAAAAGGATTCATCCACATTTCTTTGTCAGAACCCCATTAGAAAATCAATTATTACCTATCTCACATACTAACGAAGACATCACGAGTCAGTATAGACATTATAGGGGTCTTCTGGATGTGATGATCTTATATCAATGCATAAATTAATGGTCAGGTTTCTGCACTGCTCGAATGCTATTCAAAAGGAGGACTTGGGGTGTCCAATGCAACAGGTTTTCACGTAGGAAAGAAATTATTTTACAAGACATTTGCAATTATCTATTAGATACTTTCCAACACATTGGCGACGTTTAGCTTACATACAAAAAAGCAGAAAGATATTTTCTTCCATCTCCAGTATTCTTACCATTTTGGTTATATTTAATGAGCCAATTATTCAAGTCTTCCGGGGTCTGGGATTTTAAAGGTATTTACATCAGTCATTTTAGAGCACAATCTCTGGAGGATCCTCACGCGCAACCAAAACCTAGTTTTGGACACACAGTTAGATAAATTACGTTTTTGAGACTAGGTGACATCTAGATCTATAGTAATGTCATAAAGTGTGGTCACTTACGTATTTGTCGATTTACAATCCGACACTAATGTTAAGTGCTAAAGCAGCGTACTGTTGCTATGGTTACCTCATCTGGCGAAAGCGACTTCGAGTCACAAGCCTGTTTAGTGCGTTCCGACAACTTGCAACTGAACTTTTTAGTTAAAGAAACGTTAAAAAGGCAGGTTTAACTAACATATGTAAAAAGAATACATGTTTTAAGACAACTTATCCGTTTGCTTTTACCTCCTTCGGAGAAGTTCAAGCCTTATAAATGCTCAGTCTCCCTAAAGCCTCAATAATTCGTGCCTGTATTAAACTGGCATGTTGAAGAAACGTTGAACTCACCAGCTTGTCAAGTGCGTCTTTGCCAACAGTGGACACCTTGAGCGCAGGGACTCGTTCACATGTGCATCCTTCCAGAAGATAAATCCCTGACGGTCGAGCACTCTGGTCGGTGTCGAAGTAAAATAAAACATTCTGATAAAGTGCAAAAAACTTCTCATGCCATTTACTGTTTTCTGTGGTCTTCTTGCTGAGATAACCTCGCTTGGTGCCCTCTTTACGCGCGATAACGGAGAGATACAGAGCGTGTCCCTCATTGTACCGAACACTCTTCTGCATTTTCCGTCTTGGTTTAATGTGCATTCACTTGTTTGTCACCATATCCCATGTGATTTGAACTTTCCACCAAGGATGTTTGGAGAAATGTGCACGGGAAAGTTGCCGAGCTGAAGCGCACTGCTCATAAGCGACTCATCCAAACGAGCTCGGAGCCCAATCCATTCTGGCCTGAAGAAAAGTTTTAACCCCGACGAACAACACTCTCTGTCAACGCGTTTAGCTCATGCAGTACAGCAAAATAAGCAATAGTAGTGGACAGACGGTGAGAGAGAATCACTGTTAAGATCAGATGTAATCGGCTTTGGCATCCTCTTAAAGAGACAGCGCCTCTCTGGCGCCCTCTCCCTTGTGACTGAGCGCAGCTTTTAATGAGTGGGCGGATAGAAAGCGCGGCATAAAGACTCGCAGATCTTAATGAGGAGGCGGGGATGTAGATATTTTAATAAGGAGGCGGAACTGTGTATATATTTTAATGAGGACGTGGGGCGAGGCGCGCTTCAGCGCGTTACTCTACAGGTGCATCTCAATAAATTAGAATACATGTACAGTAAATGAACATACTTTCCAGAAGGCCAACAATTCACTAAAAATGTTTTTTTTTATTGGTCTTATGAAGTATTCTAATTTGTTGAGATAGTGAATTGGTGGGTTTTTGTTAAATGTGAGCCAAAATCATCACAATTAAAAGAACCAAAGACTTGAACTACTTCAGTCTGTGTGCATTGAATTTATTTAATACACGAGTTTCACAATTTGAGTTGAATTACTGAAATAAATTAACTTTTCCACAACATTCTAATTTATTGAGATGCACCTGTATATACAGTACACAACAAGCAACTAGGTTCCAATTAGGTGCTTTACTGTTAGATTAAGATGCGTTAAAGGAAAAGCCACAATTCTCACTGAGTACGTTACATTTCAGTGTCCTTGATATTCATCATTTAGAAATCGAGGTATACTGACAAAAAATAATTACAAGCAGCATTAGAAATTACACATTACATTCAGAGTTTATCATTTCATTAAATAATATGCATAAAAACTTCCACACAAACAAGTGTAAAGTTCTGTTTACACAAAGAACGCTATCTATAAATATAACTAAAATGTTAATTATATTACCGTTAACTATATCCACACCAACACATAATACACATAATACACATTCTGTTTATGGTAAGCATACACTGCTGTTTTTGCCATCTGCTACTTTAAATGCTCAAGATCTATAAAGTCGGCTGGATTCTGACTGGCTACCAATGTTTTTATGGCTCATCAGCTGGGAAAAAATGTAAAGTAATTCCAATGATATCGTCCAACTGTGACGTTAGTTATAGCTGTTTTGTGGACTTCCATATTCTCATAGGACTAGAATGATAATTCAAATTTTAGATTTACCATTATAGTCCCTGGTGTGAACAGGCCTTAAGCAGCCATTCACACAGAACACGTTTTTACATTCACGTTTTTTTTTCTTCCATTGTTGTATATGTACAGTAAACATGCGCTAGACAATGTTGCACTTGTTTCTCAATGACACCAAAACACGGCACGCAAGTTAACATTTTGAATTTCTCAAGCACATTCTCACAAAGTGTCAGATAAGAGACAATTGCTGCACTAAAGATCACTGTCACATGGACGCTTCGTGTGCACAAGCAAGTGACATTCTCAGACTCTATCAAGCTGAGAAATGCACATTCATTTTAATCTTATTTGCTATAACTTTTAAGATGTTAGGATGACAAATATTAAGGGTTAAGATGGTAATAACTGATATACTGCATATTTGATGATATAAAGATTAAATAATACAAATCGATTTTAAAATCCAGTTCAGTCAGTTTATTTTATATAGTGTAGCATCTATAGTTCATGATTTTAAATGACATTTAAAATAATATTATTAAAGCAAACCTGTGCAACTTCAAATAAATGCAAATGTGAGTAAGGAAGGAAGACACAGGAGGGCTTTATGTTCTCAGCCTGACTGCTTCAGCTTTTATGAAGACTGATTATCATTCACCTCAGACGTCACATTTAAAGGACAATGAGATTACTGAGGAAACTTAAAGGGATAGTCACCCAAGAAATGAACATTGTCACCCATTACCATTCCAAATCTTTATTACTTGCATTCTCCTGTAGAACTTACATTTTGTCAACATCAAATAAAACTGTTTGGTTACCAACATTGTTCAAATTAAGAAGAAAGAAATCATACATGAGTGCGTAAATGATGACAGGATTTTCATTTATGGGTGAACTAATGAAATGAACACCACAATTTACAGAATTTTTTTTAATTTCTAGTATAATTAATGTACATACAACATTACACTAACAAGCTTAGAAAGGTGCATTAGTTTCTTTTTTCCTATGGACACAAATACAGCATATTACCAGCAAATCTTCTGGCCAAAGCACCTGGAGAGTGTCTATGTAAGACATCATTCATAGTTGTACGATCTGTTGTTTTGAGTTCACGTTAAAACGGGTGATGAAATACATGATGTATTCAAATACATGATATTTAGTTCCTGTTTGTTTAACGGTTTTTGCAACCATCATCCTATGGGCAAAAACCATCATGCTATTATTAGAGACTACACTTTCTCCAATCCAGCAATGCTTCCTTGTTGGTGATACTCCAGGCATCAGATAACAGTCTCACCATTTTCCTATGTTTGTAAAGACAGAAGGGGGTAATATCATGTTACATACCACACAATTACAAAAAGGTTTAAACAGTGTCAATACCTCAGGAAATATTTTTTAATAATGTAGACAAATCAAAGACATATGGAAGCCCGTTTCTGCTACTGAATAAAAAATTAAAAAGGTCATTGCGACTTTTTATCTCACAATTCTGACATTTTTTTCTCACAATTGTGAGTTTACATCTCACAATTCTGACTTTTTTTCTCAGAATTGGGAGATATAAACTCACAATTGTGAGTTATAAAGTCAGAAATACAATGCATAACTTTTTTCTCAGAAGTCAGTATTGTGTGATATAAACTCGCAATTGCGAGACAAAACTCAGAACTGCTAGATTTAAATGCGCAATTCTGACAAAGAAAGTCAGAACTGCAAGATATAAACTTGAAATTGTGAGGAAAAAAAGTCTGAATTGTAAGAAAAAATGCGCAAATACCTTTTGTTAATTTTTATTCAGTGGCGGAAACAGGGTTCCATAATGACATTTGATAAATTGCTGCTGTTTTAGTGGCTGGTGCAAATACAAATGCATATACACTGAGACTCATTATGGATATTTAAACTTTAATATATGCATATGGATAACTGATTCTAAATATTTACATTTTAAACTGAAGAATGACTTTTGTCTATTTAGTCAATTATTTACTTCCTCTTCGACATTTCATGCATGTGTTCAAGGAAATAATGTACAGGCAACTGGACAAACTGGCTTCCACATACTGTATATGAAAATAATCTATGCAAAGCCACTGACTTTACACAATTAGGTTACAATACATTTCTAATTCTGACAAGTTTTAGCAATGACTTCAATGTCTATAATCAAATACAACATATAAAAATATGTGAGCCTACACAATATTTTTCAAACAGAGCCTCAAACAGAGGAATAATTTGTAACCTCTTCAGATATTTCTCTCACGGAAAAGTCTTTCATTTGTTCTGAAAGAAGCTCCTCCACAATCCAAAATTACTACAGTGTTCTTTTTCCATTGTGTAACCAATCAGCCCACGTACCTCCGGCTGTTCACGAGAGCCTCCAACTCTTTGGATTTGAATGCCGCGGTCCTGAGGATGGACTCTGGGATTTCAGCCAGACGTGCTACATTTAGCCCATAGCTCCTGGCGGCTGCGCCTTCAATCAGCTGATAGAGAAATGTGATGAACTCAGGCTGCACCTCCTCCTCTAGTAACGAGAGCAACGGAGCTATTAAACACTTTGGAAGCACTATGTGTGTATCAAAGTAATGATCAGAGGATTCAATGCGAGAAGAAAAGAATTTATAAAAACAAGATCCATGATAATCCTGATGATGATGATACTAAATTTATACAGTAATAAACAGTCTACTGCTTAATAAATACTATATTGTTTTATGCTAATATTGCAAAATAATGCTTTAATGGACTATGCTAAAATTTGATGAACTGATCAAGTATTTTAGCCATTATACTGGGATAAGAGAAAGCATTTGAACATACAAAAAATGAAACACATTACCTTGAATTATAAAGTATAAGAGCATATGACCAAAGTGTCAAATCTGTGAATAATACCAATGTAACGGCATAATAACTGTGAAGATTTTTTTGTCTGAGAAAAGAGATTTCATTAATGATGGACATTAGAAGGTCACGGAGTTGTGCTGAGAACTTTTTCCATAAAAGACACTTCTTCAGAACTCAGATGAAGTAATTTCTTGTGTCATGGTGTGACAGTAATGACACAATTATTATTAACCTGATTTGTGAATATGATTTGTGAACATTTCTTCTAATATTTCTCAGCAATTCTGTCACAAAAATGGAGGGGGGGGGGGGGAACCTAGTTGAATTCTGATGATCAGAACTCTGCATGTGATTTCCACATGTATTTCAATGACAGTAGGTGAAACTTCACAGACAGCACAGTACAATGAGAAACTGAAGAGGAAAGACTACTTATGCAATAGGATTACTGCCATACACACAAGCTAGTTGTTAAGTAACCACTACCTGGGTCTTGTAACCGTGTTCTCTAGTTAAATTCTCTTTCTTCCTGGAAAATGTAATTTTATACCACAGAAGTCCAGAAGGCCTGACTCTGATTGGTTGACAGATGTTTCCAAGCCATCGATTTTACAATAAATTTGTTCAAATTCCATCTCATAGTCACATTCGTTTATGCAAAGTAGCTTCTACCAATCAAAGTACTAGCCAAAGTAATTTCTACCACAGGAGAAGCAGACTTGGGCTTTCTAAGCAGGATGCTTAATTTTGAACCTTAAAAAAAAGATCTTGAGATAAACAAATAAGCTAACCGTTGTAAAAGTGAAATCGGCGAATCAGCTTTAAAAATGTCCACTCAGGTTTCTTGTCTTTTGCGGTCCTATCTGCTCCTCAACACTACGTAAGACCAAATATGATCTGTTGACTTGTCACTGCCTGAAGTCATTCAGATCAAGCAATCTACTACACAAATTATTACCAAATCAATTTCACACATGAAACCAGGGGAAATATTTATCATATTTCATACTGACTGATTTAACCATTTCCAGTTTCTTGAATATCAAACTGATATTTGAAAAAAAGAT